ATAAACCGGTTTGAGAATAAAACAAATGACTCAGATGGTGTGAGTAGAAAAGCAAAGATATATGAGAGAAGAACCTACTAGCCTTGAGCATTCAGTCTCCTGAGTTATAGTAGCCAGTGCAGTTTAAAACTTCTAGGTTATTCAGCCTAGAGGGTTAAAAGAGTTTCTGCTAGGAATGCCTGCTTTGTATAAGGTGCTAGAGAGACGGGAATGAAGACGCTATGCTTGCCTCCAGTTACAGCTGTGTGGAGCAAATCAAAACAATGACATTTTTTTTAAATGACAAGATTTAAAACAAAGTCTTGGGGCCCACAGAGGTTAATATGGGGAATCAGAGTGATCAGATGAGAAAGCCAGGTTGGCTGAGAAAGTCTGAGCCTTGGGCCTTGAAGAATTGTTGATTTTTTTTTTTTTAATTTTAGGTTTTTGTTTTTTTTTAATTACGGGAAAATACACATAATATAAAAAGTACCATTTTAAGTGTCCAATTCAGTGCCAGTAAGTACATTCACAATGTTCGGCAACCATCACCACTGTTCATTTTCAGAACTTTTTTTTTATCATCCCAAACAGAAACTCTGTACCCATTAAGCAATAACTCTTTATGTCTTCCTCTCCCTAGCCCTTGGTAATTTCTATTCTATGAATTTGTCTATTCTTGTACCTCATGTAAGTGGACTCAAACAATATTTATCCTTTTGTGTCTGGTTTATTTCACTTAGCATAATGTTTGCAAAGTTCATTCACGTTGTAGCATATATTGGAATTTCATTCCTTTTTATGGCTGAATAATATTCTGGTGTCTGTATATACCTCGTTTAGTTTATTCATCTGTCGATGGACACTTGAGTTGTTTCTACCTTTCGGCTATTGTGAATAAAGCTGCTATAAATATTAACATGGGTGTACAAAATACATGTTTGTGTTCCTGCTTTCGATTCTTTTTGGGTATGGTGGAATTTTTTATACTTATGAAAGAAGCTATGGGGGGTATGTTGGCATTTATCTTGAACTCTTGTTAAAGTCTTGCATTATTGACAGTTCATAAACGCCCCTTTCTTCCCTTATTTATGCTCTTTGAGTGCAAGGACTGTCTTCTGTTCAACACTCAGCAAGGTACCTGGGATAAATACCGGGGGTGCCAAACAACGTATTACAAGTGGACACTTTGGTCAACGTTGCTCAAGCAGTAGTTCGCCGGAATCAGAAGTGTTTGGGCACTGATGGTAGCTGCTTTGAGCACCTCTTGTCATTGCAGAAGTCAAATGTGACTTGTATTCATCTTTTGTTATCAGTATATATTGAGTATTACAATTTTAATACAGTTTTCCTTTCTTAAAATGTACATACATTTTTTTGGCACCTCTGTATTTGCCGAATAGTTCCTGAAGTTCATAGCCAAGAGCCATCATTGACTTATATTACAATATTTGGTCCCCAGAATAGTGGATTTTTGTCATCTATTTTTCTTTTTTTTTTTTTTTGGATCATTAATTAACATGTGTTCAGGAACCAGAAAACAACTCTTAATATTAGCCTTAGCCAAACATAATTGGGGAAGTGCATTTTCTAATGCAAAGAGTCCTGATGTAAATAAAATCCAATTCAATCAACATTTGTTGAGAATCTGCTATGTACCAGACACATTTGAAAACGTGTAATTCCAGAGCAGTTTCAAAGCTCAGTTGGAATACCTTATTGGTATTGAATTTTAAATATAATAAATGTATTTATATGTGTACACACACCCTTTAACATTAATCTCTAGTCTTTTTTTTTATTGTGAGAACATTATAACTATTCAATATAGTTTGGAATAAAGAGAATAAGTAATACACACAGTCTCACTCTAATATAAGCTTTATTTTCACTTTATAGTGTGACTTTGAGGGTTGCACTTGAATGCTTCTGGTGATAATGTATTTAATTTTCTTTTTTTTTAAACTCTGGAAGTAAAGCATAAACTAATGATCTCAAATTTAGAGGCTCCTTTTTTGCAGGTATCCGCAGTAGTTTTCATGGGTGAATTAAACCTCCCTTTTCTTAGCGGAGGGGCAGAGTTGACATCTGTCCTCTTTTGGAGATAGGACATCTGTTATAGGGGCTGGGCATTTAGGAACCTGTCCTTCCTTCAACCTTTTATATGTTTAGGGATTGAAGGGAATGTCTTTTTGACTATGCTAGGGGAAAACACAGTTTAGGATTCTTATTCTGTGGGCTCTAAGACCTTGGGCTAGGTAGAGGAGGTAAGATGTAGATGAAGACCATTATTAGCATCAGTACAAGCCCTATTGTTGGTGAGGCCGGACATGTTGGTGGGATTTAGTGAGGACAGGTGATTCTCACTTGGAGTGATTAGGGAACAACATCCATGAAAACTGGGCTTTCCCCATGACAAGGAGGTGAATTGGTGGAGTATGTGTGTCCTGAGGATGCAAAGAAAAATGAGCATACCAAGGAATGGCCCTTCTAAATGGAACTTCTAACCTTTTTGGACTGTAGATCTATTTCTCTGCCTTCTCCTGCCATGGCCCTCCAAGGAGAGAGGTCTATACTTGCAAACCTTTAACCTTGGAGCAAATTTCTACTCAACTGAAATTGCACTCTTGGATTTCCTGTGGTCTCTTTGTAACCAAATTTGGGGACTTTTGTTCATTCCCTTTGATCTTGTTCAGCATCTGCCCTGGGACCCACCCACCTTCTCTTTGAAACCTCTGATCTGTTGTCTTCCTTGCATCTTTAGCCTCTCCTCTTCCTATTTTTTTAAGTCTCTCCTGACTCTGTCCTACACCTTCCTAGCTGGAAGAGCTCTCCAAGATTAGTTCTCAGTGTGTTCTTTTTTTCCACAGACCCTTTCCCTTGATTATCTGACCCCAGTCTTTTAACTTAACACATTATTGCTCTGCCTCCACCATCTGAATTTCAGGTTGCAAGGTGAGAGAGAAGTTCATCTACCGCTAGAAGTCCATCTGCCACCTCTCTTGTCCCAGTTTTTTTTCTGAACATGTGTTCATTCCTTCTGCCCCCAACCATCCTGAACTTGCAGAGTTTCCTGGTGTGACTCCCTCATGCTGCCTTTGCCTCCCACCAGCCCCTTTCTCCACCTGGTTTGATGGCTTTTACTCCTCTTTCAGTTCAGCCTGTTCTCTTCTCCAGCCTTGTGTGTGTGTTATGCACATGAGCCATTTCCTCCAGGAACCGGCAGAAGTGATTGAAAGTCCCCCAGGGAGTTCTGTTTTCCTCTTGCCCCAGCCCACCTCACCCAGGGTCCTTTTCTTTTCTGTTCTTTACCGAGACCATCCATGAGTCAACCTTTTATATTTTTGATTGCACTATAAACTGTCACATTAATGTGTTCTTCCTCTGACATTATGTTGCATCTTCCTCTTTTTTTTTTTTTTTGAAGATTTTATTGGGGAATTGGGGAAGGGAACAGTGTTGGGGAATGGGGAAGGGGACATTGTGGTTTTCTAGGACCCATCAGCTCCAAGTCAAGTTGTTGTCCTTCAATCTTAGTTGTGTAGGTCGCAGCTCAGCTCCAAGTCCAGTTGCTGCTTTCAATCTAGTTGTGTGTGTGTTGGGGGAGAGCGGGGTGGGAGGGAGGGGCGAAGCCCACCATCCCATGCAGGAATCTAACCGGCAACCTTGTTGTTCAGAGCGCATGCTCTAACCAACTGAGCCACCCGGCCGGCCGGTCCTGCATCTTCCTCTTTAGTCTCAAATCTTTAGGTTCTTACTGCTTTTGCCTCTCTGAGGACCGAAGCTTTCCATTGAGCTCCTTGATTCCACCTGATGACTGGCATCTCACTGTCATGCCACTTTCCTACTGACTCTACATGGTCTCTGTGGTACATTCCATATAATTATACCAGATGTTCAGGGCTCTGGATGACCGGGTTCCATCTTGCTTAGCCTCCTTAGTCTTACTTCTCATGGTCTCCACAAGGGAACCCTATTTCCATCCAGGCTGGTTTCTTCATAGCTCTCAACGCCTTGTGTACCAACTCTTTTGTCATTCTGTTTTCTCTTCTACCTCTTCTGATGTTGTCCAGGTCCAGCCCATCTCTTACTCTTTCTTCTGCTTAAACCTAAATCTTGTATTAATGTTTTATAGATTCTGACACTTCAGCGGTGTGTTCTTGAAGCTCTGGAGTAAGGGCCGTGTGTGCGTACCATGTGTCACACTTAAATGGACTTCCCCCCAGCACCTTGGATGATGCTTTTGCAGATCATAAGATCCTAATTAGCAGATGTTTGCATTCATGCAACAGATGCATGAATGAATGAGTGAATTGAGTGTTACCGATTTTCTAAGGCTCAAGTTTAATATTCAGAGTTGGATGTTTGCATCTTTAAACTAGTTCCCTGCCTTGGAAACCTGTCTGGCATTGGGCTGATCAGGCTGCAACCCAACATATGCCATGAAATATCTTGTGGTCTGATCTTTAAAATGCAGTGTTCATTTTCTGTCTCATTGTTTGAAACTCATAAATACTCCTTTTGATGATTATCACTGTATAAGGAGAACTATATAGAAATAACTGAATTCGCAAAGCTTTAAGAAAAAGTCAAACTATGTCATGGTCATGTACATTTTGCCAAAAGAGTGACAGTTTGAGTTTTTTTTAGGGTAAGATTTTGTTTTTGTTGTTTCTAAGCCAAGTGTCAGCATATAAGTACCATTGCAATGTCCTATATTCAGACAGGAAACTTGACCTCGCTGTAAGTTTAACCCAGAGAAGGCTGTGACATCCAGCAAGTCTTGGCTTGCACACCAGGTGTGACCCTCAGGATTACTTGAGGGTTGCAGAAAATAACTTAATTTTATAGATGAACTTAAGAAACTTTAAACAGAACTCTTTCTAACTATAAATAGCAGGGTAGCTTTGTCCTATATTTATTGTAGAGTACACAGAAGATGGAAATCAATATCGGAATAAAGGCTTTATTTCGCCAAGGAAAAAGATCATACTCAACACGATTCTCGTTTTTCTTGGCAGGCTCTTCTCAACCATCTGTGAGTCCAGGGGAACTGCCTCCACCGTCCATCCAGCCAGCAGAATCAGAGTTAATCGTCAATGTTGACGACGAGATTAAGCTGTTATGCACCGATCCAGGATTTGTCAAATGGACTTTTGAGACCCTGGGTCAACTGAGTGAGAGGACACACAATGAATGGATCGTGGAGAAAGCAGAGGCCGCCAATACAGGCAATTACACGTGCACCAATAAGGACGGCTTAAGCAGTTCTATTTATGTGTTTGTTAGAGGTAAATGTTCGGCTTTCTTTGATGCTGTGCGTTAGAGAACTTAATATCCTGTTCTTAATTATGTGTGACGTATAGATGACTAAGCCATAGATAAAATATTACTGGCTGGGTCTAGAAAGCCTAAAACAAAATTTTCTTTGTTTCTCCATCTTTTGATACATAGTGGCTTTGGGTATGATTCCAGCTTAAGGTCTGCAAGGCTGTGACACGGTTCCTAATAAGATTACAGTATTGTTAGCCCATTTGTCCTGGTGCTCTGAGGAAACCCTGAGAATAAATTAGACCCTTTGGGAAGGCTGCATTTTAATGCCGAGAGATCTTAGATACTCCTACTTAGTAAAAACGCTTCAGGGAACTGACGGTCTCTAAAGGCCCAAACAGACCAACACTTCAAAGAATTGACCCACTTTTAGGGAGTAAACTCAGAAAAATAACTCAGTCAGCAAAGCACCCTGTGTCTTTCCTGGGTTCTTGATAGATGTCAGTTGGTTCATTTAAAAAAATGTGACCTCTTAGAAACAAAAGGAAACTATGATAGTTCTATTTCTATACCTCATTTCCTATGATAAATTCAGTGATTCATCTGTGTGTTGCCAATATCTTTGTCAAGAGGAGGTTTGCTGGGCCGGGGTTGGGTGGGGTTGGGGAGAAGTACCTTTTTGTTGATGTAAAAACTGAAGTACTTGAAGCTTAAGATAAGAGAGACATAGCCAGGTAGGTGATAGGAGAAGTAGAGGCCCAGTTCTAGTCCTGGGTTTGTACCTTGACTGGGGCTGTCATTGAAACAGGCCTGATTAGGAGGCCTCATCCATGGTATTGTGGAAGAATAATGAATAAATTTATCACAAATTGTAGATCTGAGCAACCTCAAGAGTCTCAGTTCCTCAATGCAACATTTGGATAAGATCATCTGCTCTGTCTTCTCTACCTAATTGTTATTAGGGAGACAGAATTGTGCAAATTCTAGTGCTGTAAGGGTTAATAAAGTTGCCTCCCATGTTCTCTATAACGGTTGCCATGAAATTGACTCTGCCTCTCCTCAGTTTGTCTGTTGTCTGTCCTTTCCTAGGGGAGGAGCTGAAAGAAATACACATTGTGATAGGCCACAGCTTAGCCTCTGGGTATGGTTCCATAATTGTTGAACCAACCTGTATGCGGTTCTTTGACATTCAAAGGTACTCTGTAATTTCCAGGTGGTAGTATCATTCAGTTTATTAATAGGATGGGTAGACAACCGATAAAATGGGGAAAACTGCTCGATTAGTGAAATCGGTCTCACAGAGCTCACTAGTTTTCTTTATAGGGAAGCCATCCGCAGCAACTTAGAACTATACGTAATTATTGATTTAAGATGTTAGATACTTACATAATCTATGTTACAGTAATGAAGGAAATTGGTGCATTGTTTTAGGAGCTAGACGCAAGCAACTGAGAAAGAGTAGATGGAAAAATAACCAATGCTGGCCTTGTGCCATAGTTCACCCGTCATGAAGTAATTTATTTGCATAATAAATTAAGGCCAGGAGGTGCATGATTCATTTTAGAAAACTATTTTTCAAAATTGGTCAAAATTAAATGGTAAGAAGTATATGTCAATTATATTAAATTGGTTTTTGTGGAACACCTAATTTCCAGGTGGAAAGGACAATTTAAAAAAATTTTAAATATAATCTGTTGACCCAACTATGCATCGGTATTATCTTAACACAGCAGAGGGTAGCAGCAGATACAGAATGAAGTTTGTTTTTGCTTATATGGGGTCCCAGTCTGCCTGGGGCTTTCCCAGTACATGCCTCGAATCCTGACATCATTATTAATAGCACCCCCTTCCACTCACAAGGGTCCTGGTTTAGATGATAAAGTATTTACCACAGCATCCCTGAAACTCATCAACTCTTCTTGTGCATTTGAAATTATTTGACTTCCAGAAGTTATATTTAAACATAACTTTCAAAGAATTTGAATAGAGTGAGGCTCACATATTATTATACTGGGTGCCCTGCTGATAGTTTTCTGGATTCCATTCGGAAGCTGAAACACCCTGGAGACTGGGAGCTCTGGAAAGGGCCCACACAGAGGGCTAAGAGGAAGAACACCTTCCCCTGAGGCTAATAGGTATTATCAGATGGCTTATTGTTGGCCCATGCTCCTTGAAATATTACCTGTTGCAGAAAAAGAGTCATGATTGTAATAAAACATGCTCAGTTTTCAGACCTCAATTACGGTATCCGTCAGACCTGGGTTTGAGTTCCACCCAGCCATTTCTGGGCCATGTCACTTTAGGAGAGCCACTTTGTTGAGACTTTAGTTTCTTCAACTATAAAATGGTGATAATGATAATGCCCATCACTTAGGGGTGTTTTGAGGGGCAAATGAAATAAAGTGTGTAATGAACCAAGCTGAGTGCCTGACACATGGAAAATGTTTAATAAATGTTAACTCTTACATGTCGGTATTAGTTGGGTAAATTCTACTTTTCTTGCAAAGAAAAAAAGGTAGTTTCCATTTGAACCACTAGGAATTGTTACGAAAGGTAACCTTTTCGATCTTTTAAAAATGTTTTCAGTGCCTGTGACCAGCCATTCACACTGCTGATTTTTCATATGCTCTAGATCCCGCACAGCTTTTTCTCATTGACCTTCTCCTGTTTGGGAAAGAAGGGAATGATACGCTGGTCCGTTGTCCGCTGACCGACCCAGACGTGACTGATTACTCCCTCACTGGGTGCGAGGGGAAACCTCTCCCCAAGGACTTGACATTTGTTGCGGATCCCAAGGCCGGCATCACGATAAAAAATGTGAAGCGCGAGTATCATCGCCTCTGCTTGCACTGCTCTGCCCACCAGAAGGGCAAGTTGGTGCTGTCGAAGAGATTCTCCCTGAAAGTGAGGGCAGGTACGGGCCCTTTCTTACTTTTTTCTGAGAGTTGGAGCATCAACTGATCTAAAGACAACTTCTCTCTTCTCACTGGTCCACCTTAGGATAGTCAATCAGGCAGCTGGCTCTTCAGTGCCACCCTCCCCCCGCCCCCCGCAGCTTCAAAATAATGTCGGCTGCTTGTGAATTCTTCACAGTCTCAACCCCGTGGGACCAGTCCATGACTACCTCTAGCTGGGCATGTCTACCATAGATTGGCATTTAGACCGCACTGGGGACGGTCATTAAACCTACTGACTCGAGGACACCCCAAATGTCATAAAAATGGCATTAAGTGTTCTTTCCAAGAGAAAGCCATTGAGAAGCTGTGGTTACACTGTTCAGAAAGAGTAGCATACAGATTATTCATTCCTTGATTTACTATTGATCTATGAGTCGACTTTCTCCTCAAGCTATTTTAACACATTCTCCTAACTATTCACAATCTGAGGAGGAAAGTACCAACTGACTGGGGACCTTGTTATTACTGTGGCATTATGTAGACTATTTTGGTAGCAGGAAGATATGTAGATTTCATATCTCAGAGATCATCTCATTCCATCCCAGTTGGCATTCAGCTATTGAATAGCTTTTATTAAGGCTTTTGAAAAGTATGCTCATTGGAATTAAGGAAAATTTGATTATTGAAGACCTGGGATTTTGAGAAGCAAGATACTATTTTTTACAGCACATGGGAAATGTGTCAGTTTGATTAAAAGAATATAATTAGTTGTAGGTCACATCCTCATGATACCATCCAGGTTGTGTGAGGTAAAGATTAATGCCACTTCACTATGCCAGGGCTTCTACCTGTGTCCACATAGCATTGTCCACAAGCATTATAATTTAAGAGTAGACATTCCTGTCTTTTTCACTCAGTATTAATGAATTAACTTGAAGGATACATGATTTAATTGCTAGTGTCCTCAGATACATAATACAGGTCAGTTAGTACCGTCCTTTATATTTTACTTAAAAGACAACAAAATAAGCTGTGCGCACATTTGAGGAAAAATGGTTAGTTAAAATGTCATGCTGTAATAGAACAAATTATTTGAGGGCCACATTTCTTTGTATTCTAGCCATCAGAGCTGTACCAGTTGTGTCTGTGTCCAAAGCAACCTATCTTCTTAGGGAAGGGGAAGAATTTAGAGTGACATGCTTCATAAAAGATATATCTAGTTCTGTGGACTCCATGTGGATAAAGGAAAACAGCCAGGTAAGTGAATTGTTTCTTTCATTTTTCTCAATATATTGTTCTCTGTATGTGGGAGATTTTCAGGGGTTTTTTTTGTTTGTTTGTTTGTTTGTTTTTTTTTAAGTCTATTAATTGTCCTGGGGGGATGGCTCAGCTGGTGTGTCTGTCGGAGGTGGAACTGTCTCGGAGTGTGTCGAGATGCATATTTTCCCCTTTCATAACACCATATGTAGACGTGTACGCTCATTATTGGTAAATGTCATTTTGTAAATTTATTTTGACGAAGTCGAATAGGGAACGCCAGACTCAAGTCATCACTTAATGCTGTTTTTTTGAATGAAAAAAACAAAAACAAACAACAAGTAACAGTTAACTGCATACATATCTTGTTTTCTTTTTATAGCTGTTATCAACAGTGCTCTTCAGGCCAGGTTATTTAAAAGATTGGGAAGAGTTGCCAATTTTTCCATCCATATTTAAAAAGAATAAATGGTCTCAGATATTAACTAGCAAGCTCTTCCCTCCGCCACAAAGTGGCCAATCCATTTGAGAGAGGGGTTTCTTTCTGCATGGGTCTGATTCTTCCCTTTGAGGCTGGTTACCTGAGATCAAGTTGCTAACGGTTTTCTATTTGTTTTAGTGGCTGTTAATAAAATGGTCATCTTCAATCCGAAACATTTGGACATATTTAGGTTCTCATTCATTTAACAAAGGCACATTGAATGTCTACTACACGTCAGATTACTGTGCTAGGCATATATTAAAAAATAAATTTTAGCCAGTGATAGTTAAAAGGTTTATTTTCCTCTTTACTCTTACTAATAGCAAGGTCTTTAAAATGCCCAATTTCCCTAATATGTTGCTTTAAAATTTCCATTGACTGAATTTTCAATAATTTTTGTGTGAATAATCCAGGCCATCTAGTTAATAAGCTACCAACGGTGGTTTTTCTTCAGTACACATGTGCATTACATTAGAAAAAAAGAAATGCTACATTTTTCTCCTCCTCCTCTGTTTTTCCTCCTCATGCCCCATTTTCAACAATGGCAACTTCATGCTTGTTTAAAGAATTCTTTGCTAAACAAGTAACCATGGTGATTAGCATAATGCAGAGCATTATGATGGTATTCATATAGACCTGTGATGGATGATACCTTGCTAAATGAAGCCTGCCGTTGGTTGGGAGAACGGATTGTCCTGTAGACTTGTTCTTGCAAACCAGTGGCTCAGAGAAACAAGTTTTAGTTTCCAGAGCATATAATTTAATAAAAACAATAGCTTATATATGGATTTTTGACTCACAGAACACAATCCCATACTAATTGACTTTCTATAATCCTTAATTTCAGATGAGAGAACAATTTAGACTGTGTGTGTATTTGAGCCCCTCTATATAACATGAAAATGAGCCGTTTTGAGTTGAGAAATTAAATTGCCCCAGGCAGTTCTGTTCTGAACCATTTTTTCCCAGGAGCCCTGCATGCCATTCCCAATTAATCCGCTGGCACTGGCAGATAAGCCTTCAGTGTGGGGAGCTCTTTGGGGAAATCCCAGTGTGCACCTCCAAGGGTTAAGGGAAACCAAATCACGTGCAAACAATATGTAATGTGTGAGTTGCAGATGGGGCTTGTGGCTCTGTGCCAAGGTTCATCCATGAATCTTTTATTGCCATCCTTTGGCTTAATTTGGAATACTTAGCACTGTTAGCATTATCAAATTGTCTGAAAAATCCATAGTTGATTCTGACCATTTAGAATAAGTTTAACTCATAATGAAATTTAGGGTAAACTCACTGTTTCAGAGTTTTTACAATTGCTAGTTTTAACTCATAAGGGAGTCTTGGGGTTTATTCAATACTTGTGAATCTTGGTTAGCTTTTCTAATGCTTTTAAACCCTCATATTTGACTTGCTTTTGATTATGATCTTTGACAGTATCCAAAATTATGGTCTTTGGGTTTAGGTGTTGATATTGCATCATCTATGACCAAGCTATTCATTCTGCCATTGACATGCTCAGTGTTCCTGTTTAGCTCCCTATTATAAACTCTTGGGCTCTTGCAAGAACTAGAAGGAAGATACCTTAAATCTAGAATATGGTATGTTATCTGTCTACTGTCACTCTGCCTTTGCAGAGGAAAAGTCTGTGACATGATGGCCTGGGAAAGGCTATAGAAAATGTCATTTCACCTCGCTATTGCATTTTCTTAACAATTGATCTCAGGCACAGAAATGGCAGATGTCTGCCAATTATTAGAAGAATCTCTTAGAAGGGAGGGAAGTATCTTTAAATTTACATAGTGCTCCAAACTGGAGAGGCTTTTAAAGACCTTTGTACCCTCATTGCTTTTTAGAAACAAAAGTCTAGTGGTATCCTTGACTTGCCCAAGATCTCACAATTAGTTAACCAAAAAAAGGTTTCTCTTTTTTATATTTTGAAACATTCAACTTTGGCAGTCAGCTTTTATTTTAATATAAAAATTTCCCAAAACTATAATAACATGAGAACAAAAGAGAAATAGATATAACCCCACCATTGTATATAGCAGTGCTGTGGAATAGAAATAAAATAAGAGCCTCCTATGTAATTTAAAATTTTTTAGTCACATGACAAAGAGTAAAAAAAGTAAAATTCATTTTAATAATATATTTTATTTGACTCAATATATCAAAATATTTTATCATGTAGTTGACATATAATTATTAATGGGATAGTTCACATTATTCTTTTCATATTAAGTCTCAAAATTTGGGATGTATTTTGTATTTTTGACACAACTCAATTTGGAGTATTGAATTTCAGGTGCTCAGCAGTCATTTGTGGCTAGCTAGCCCTTAAAATTGCTATACTGCCCGCATTTGTTTTTCATGTATTTTGTTCTCTGTCCCCGTGCATGTGTATTAGTACATGGTTGCAGTTTTAAGTTACACAATTTATGTTTTTTAAATAATATAAACATTTTCTTGTTTTCACATATTTGTAATTTTGATAACCTGGTATACATTTAGGTCACCTCCCAAGTTTTCACTGCAGTAAAAATCTTAGAGCTTTTGTTTTTTGTTGAGTTATTTCCTTGATGTAAATTTGCTGGAGTTTGATCGGGGGTATGAACATACTGCCAGGTTGCTTTCTGGAAGGGCTGTTGTGATTTACAAGACTGTTGGAATGGTCTAATGCTAATAGGTTCACCATGGCCTGGCCAACGAATCACCCTTGATCTTGGTCCATGTCATCATAAGATCCTGTTTACTTTCCTTTTTTAGTTGCTTTTCCCCTCATTGTAATAGGAATGTGCCACATTTCAGAAAATTTGGAAGATGCAGAAAGCTATATGCTACTCCTCTTAATTTTTTCAGAAAGCGGCTGTAGTTTATATTATGCTTTTTTTCCATGACGTTTTCCATACAAGAAATCTCTCCATGTCTTTTCTGAAGACAAATAATGAGAGTGAGATGGTGCTATCACAAGAGTAAATTCACAATCTTTTCGTTTCAGCTCATGCTTAAATAATTTGGACTTGGTTTTACATGTATTACATATCTTGGAACTCCCTTTAATAGTTGCCAAACTTCTGCTGGGTAAAAACTTTAGGATGAATTTCCAGGTTAGCTTTAGACTAACCTGTGATTCTCTTTTTATTCATAAAATAATATGCATATTATTGAAATAGAACATTATTATTAGCAATGTGTTTCTTTCAATCACTGGGATATAGAATAGAAAAAATATATAACGAGATATTGATATGACATAAGTATGCTGACTCATTATAAAATATCAGCATTCTGTAATATGTCTTATATAGTGACTTTTAAAACTTGGCACTGTTAAGAAATATTTAGCACTGCAGAGAATTTGGAGTTATATATGCTATAGTTATGAAGAAATGCATTTCCATGTTTTTTCTAATCATTAATAAGGACTATCTTTCAATATAATCCTGTAATATGAAGTGTTCCAGAGGCAGACTTGTCATGATGCTTTATTATTCTTAAGTAGTGTATAATGAATGCTAATATGGAGAAGTTAATTGCTGCTATTTTTAATTTATAAAGAGCCTGAATATAAATTTTATGGTAATCTTTGATTTTTTTTTTCTCTTCTTCTGAAACCAGCAGACTAAAGCACAGGTAATGAGTAATAGCAGGCATCAAGGTAACTTCCAGTTTATACGTCAGGAAACATTGACTATCAGCTCAGCAAGAGTTAATGATTCTGGAGTGTTCATGTGTTATGCCAATAATACTTTTGGATCAGCAAATGTCACAACAACCTTGGAAGTCATAGGTAAATATCTCTATGGGAATGTATAAATTACTGGCAGCAGTGAAAGAAGAAATTACTAGATAGTTTCCTTTTTATGTAAATGGAATGTTGAACAGAATTTTAGAAATTTTTGTTATCACTGAATAAATGAATGAATGAATGAGTGAATTAATAAATGAAAATTTTCATTGTAGCCTCTTCCACTTAGAGCACAAAAGCAAATTCTACCAATTTAGTAGAGGGAAGTGAAAAGCTGTAATTGAAGTTGTTCAAACCTTTCATTCTCTGTGCTACTCACCCTTCCCTCCCCACCAAACAAACAAAACCTAAGCTCAGCTTTTTAAAATATTCTAGTTCTTATTGAATGACTGGAGTTTGAAAATGGATGTAGAATTTATTGAGGAGCGCAAATGCTTAGAGCTTAAAGTTATTCTCTGAATCTTTTGGTGAGGCTCCTCAGCCTTTTGATTTATTGTTTTAGCACTCATGGTCCTTGCTTTGTAGCAGGGAGGGATGAATTGGGTTTCCCCTCCCCACCCCGCTGCACCTTATCCTCCAACCTTACAGGCTGTGGCAGGAACCTTCAGGAAGGAGGTCTACAGGGATTGGGTCACTGGCTCTTCAGGGCATTAACTGGAACATGGTAACCTGTGCCCTGAACCCCATCATATCTTGTATACACAACACATTGGTTTAGCCTTTTCTAAAAATTACCCTACTCTAGAAATTTCCCTAAATATTTATTTTCCAAGCATCTACTTAAAGAGAACAGTTCTTTATGTTTTTGATTTACAGAAAATAATGATTTTAAATTACTTCATTTACACATTTTTTTTGTCTTTTGAGTATTGTTTGAATTTAATCTGTTTTCTTGTCTTTTTAATGCAACCCTATTCTTAATGCTTGACTTTGATGAAGTACTTGTAGAGTGGAGAAATTCTTCATCATGAGCAATAACAAAATGCCATAGTTGTTTTCATTGCTTTCCTTTCCCCCAGATCTCCTCAGTAATTTATGTAGCAATGTTAGATGTCTGTGATTTATCCCACAATAATTTCATATAGTGTTGGTATTTCTGCCCATGTTGTAATGGAAAGTGTCTCACCAGATTGAACATGAAAAAGACACCTTACTTGAAATTCTAGAGTCAACACAGAGAAAGAGTACTCCTCTGTCCCTAAACATGATTGTGAACCATTTATTAATTTGAATAGATGGCTATGCTTTTAAAATATTAAACTCCATAAGTGCTAATTTGCTAAGTTGATTAGGGAGCATGTTGATATATCAGCTTCAGCTCCGGAAAGCAATTAGTAAGGATGTTTTGAGCATATTGTTATATGTAATCAGATTTTAAAAATCCACTCATCTATTTCCAAGAATATAACTGTATAACTGGAAGGACTTGTGGCCAAGAAACCTGAATCTGGTTTTGGATTGTTTTGAGAGTGGGTTGGGATGGGACAAGAACAGGAGGGGACAAAGAGAAAAGTAATTTATCTACGGGCTGGGAGTAGGATCTGGGTACAGTGTGGAGTCATAGAGAGAACAGGGCTTTAGGATGGACCTGACCTGGTTTTGAGTTGGGGCTCTGCCACCTGACTTTCTAATGCACCCTACTTTAACTCTGCCTATATTTTCTCTTCTGAGAAACACAGTCTCTAACTTCCAAGGCTTGTGACAAGGAGAAAAGGCAGTAGATTTTATATAAGTGCCTGGCATAGGGTTTGCACTTGATTAAATGTTAGTGCATAACCAATTTCTTAATGCAGAAGTACTTAAAAAATCATACTTCATATTATAACAACCCAGATGGAGTTGTTTGATTCCAATAATTCTTATACTTCATGAATTTGAAGCTGCATTCCACTATAGGACATAAAACTATATTGAGCAAACTAGACTATAGCAAACTCAGGTGGAACTTAAGACAAATATTTTATACATGGTGATTGTGAGGGAAATAATTCCATGTGATATTTTCCATTGTGTGCTTTGAATTTATAACCTTGAGAACCTGAAAATGTAATGTAGCAATTCAGATGAAACATTTATTTCCTCAAAATGAACCTAAATTAGCTTAAAGAATGGCAGGGGGTATCATTTATGATTCAGGTATTAGAATAAGGTGGTGGTTTCCATATCCAATTTTCATTTGGAAGATTCTCCAGTCTCATTTGAAAAACCCTTTTCAGTTGGTACAAAGGGGAGTTGGACTCCATTTTTTATTCTGAATCTATAGGAAACTTAAAGGGCAGTAAATACTATCATAACAATGTCATGTGGGATTTCGATATATTTAACCAAATAGCACTAGAGATAATGATAATTTTAAATTTCATAATTTTTTCAATTTGAAAAAAATAGAAAAATCAAAACTCTCATAATCCCATTAACATGACATGACCATTTTTAAGATTCGGTGTGCTAGTTATAATTTTGAATGTACCAGGATTTTAATTATACATAGAATTTATTTCTCTCTCTCTCTCTCTCTCTAACTGAAAGTATATAGAGACTCTAGGGTTTACTATAGTAAGAACAGGTCAGCCTTGGCTTCTCATAAACCTGTATTGAAATCTAGGCTCTGCCATTGGGTAGCCAGCTGTATGGCTTTCTAGGACTTGAGTTTTTTCATTTATAAAGATGGAGTTATAAGCTTTCTCTTTCAGAATTGTTATAAGATTAAACATTTGTCATAATTATCAAATAAAATGAATGCTAAAGTACTTTAGGGCAGTTCTTGGCACATAGTAAGAATTCCATAAATGGTGGCTCTAAAAATAATATTGGCACTTATGTTCTTTTTCAAGATATTTTTATATTATTATTATATAATAATTTCTAAGGGCTACTTTATTTATTGAACCAGTTTCTCATTTTAAAAATTACTATAACTGGTGTAAATAGCACTTTTGTATGTAGCTATCCACTTCACTCACATGGAAATTACAGGGCTAAATTGAAGAATAATTTTTAAAAACCTATATTACAGTTGTGCCAATTTACAGTGTGTCAGTCAGTGTGCCACTTTTGCTACACTTGCAAAATTATTGAGTCTATTTCAAATTAGTTTTGCTATTTTCCAAAGGATAGTATACTTTATTTTTGAAAAAGCTTTATTGAAGTTTTGATATTTTTAATTAGTGAAAAGTGATCCCTTATTTTAATTACTAGTTTCAATACTTTTCCTTCTATATTTTTATGTCCTCTTTTCCTGTTACCTTAATTAATTTTACTCTATAGTCATTTAAAAATGTTTATGTATTCAGATTTGACTTTTATGGTTTTTTTCTTCTGTTGCTTCCAAAAAAGCCTAAAACACTGCCCCCTTTCTAGAAGTTTTATAGGAGTTAGTTTGTTGTTTAGTTAAAGATATGGTTTGATTGTTAAAATGCTGTCCTTGATTTATCTCTGATATATAATATGATGAGAAGACCCAAATTTTCTTTTCTTAAAATACCAAAAAACATTCTTTCAACATTTTTATTGAACATTAAAGGCTCTCTTTCCCTTCTTGATTTATGATGCCTTCTTATCACATACACTTATATTGAACCAGGGTATGGGCTAACTAGTCCAAATACTTTTTACCCTAATAAACGTCAAGACTAGTATTTCTGGAAGACTTATAAGATGGTGGTAGATCTTTAAGAGAGTTGTTTAAGAGACAGAGATGGGAGAATAAACATTTCAAGTGTGTGTTATTTCTCACTTTATGACAGTGATTCTACAAGAGCAGCATAAAATGTCAAATGGCTAGTTTAAATTCACTTACTTGTTATTGCCAAGTCATACTGGAAACCAATCAATCATCTTTGTAACCCAAAGATGATGTTGTGTTTTTTGCTGGGTAGCTGTGGATAACGGTTTCTTTCTATTTAATTCTGTTGTGATTAGATAAAGGATTCATTAATATCTTCCCTATGGCGAATACTACAGTATTTGTAAATGATGGAGAAAATGTAGATTTGATTGTTGAATATGAGGCATACCCGAAACCTGATCACCAGCAGTGGATCTATATGAACAAAACCATCACTGACAAATGGGAAAATTATCCCAAGTCTGACAATGAAAGTAACATCAGGTAAGAAAAGAGCCTTGTTCTGAGGATTACACCTTTTCCCCCTCTTGTACTTGGCTTACCAGGTCCTATTTCTGTGACCCATAAATCTCTGAGAGGATACCTGGCAGAGAAGGAAGTTTGGGGTTGCTTCCTGAGTCTTCTTCCCAATTTCATTTTGCCGTGTGTTTCAGGCACCCCAAAAAACCAGTGCCTCAGTTTTCTCATTTGTAAAACTGAGGGTAGTGCTTTCCCAGAGTTCTGAGGATGCTTCAAAAGCAATGCCTGGCATGTACGAGAGGCACCTTAAATAATTCTCTTCAGAGAAAGAGGGAAGTTAGTGTCTTTAATCATTTTTTTTTAAAAAACTGTAAGAAAACTAAGAATCATTAAGTAGCTTTGGGCTAGACAGTGAACCTGGGCTCTTTTATATTAGACTTCTCATTTGATCTTCAGAACATTTATAACAAAAAATAGTAGCAATAATAACACTTTTATGTAAGCCGTGTGCGCTTTTTTTCTGCCTGGCGCTGTTCTAAGTAAGTACCTTTCATGTATTAACTCAATTTTAGTCCTCACAAACCCTGTAAGAGTAGGCACTCTAATTTCCCTCATTTCTGTGGAAGAGTTAAATAATTTGACCCAGAGTGAATGGCCAATAAGAGGTAAGTGCTCAGGCAGAGTTTATATTTTCCCAGTCAGGAGCTGTTGGCTATTGTGAGAATGTGGTTGAGAGACGATGCTGTCCTGGGCCAAGATCTAAGGGTTGGAGGGAAGAGGATGGATTTGGGAGGTGTCCAGGCTACCCCCTTAACAAGGTTTAGTGATTAAGGGTGTAGGAGAGAAAGGGAATAGCTGAAGAGGCCCTTTAGGAGTTTGGGTCTGTTAGCCAGGCCAAGAGGTGAGAGGCGATACCATTCGAGGAGACGAGTGGGGCTTGGCATTTGTTGAATTTGAGGTTTCTCGAATTTGCAGTTGACCGTGGCATCTTGCGAGAGGTTCAGGTAGGAGGTATACTAGGTCAGGTTCCCTCGAAGCAGAGCTTGAGGCAGGGCTTCTCTGGCAAGGGGTTCATTAAGGGAGAAAGAGATCTGCCAGGGAGTGGAAGAGGAGCGGGGTGGGGAGGAGAAAGGAGGAAAGAAAGGATGTGGGTGAGGTGAAGCTGAGGGACAGCCTGATCCGAAGGGTGCTCTGGAGCTGAGCTTTTGTCCGTAGACCTGGAGGACAATCAACTTTCACGTGGGTCTAAGCGCCCAAGGGCAAGGCATGGGAGAAGGCTGCAGGTGTGAGCTGGAGGCATGGTGGCATGAAAATAGCTCAGAAGAGGAGGCATGGCCAGAGAACTCCGGACTAGGGGGAAAAATGTGAATGTGTGAACAAACAACGAGTCGTTCAGTGCAAGAGTGGAGAGCCTGTGCACTGTGTCAGGGGACTGAACACACCACTGCATACGTCTTGTTGGCTGTGTACCTCTTGTGGGTCGAGGGCATGCCATCCACACCGGAGCCCAAGCCAGTAACACCTCCAACAGCCTCATGCCCATATCTGGTGGCCCTGCAGTAAAACAGAAACTTGGTTAGCAAATCCTGCAAAGGACACTCAAGAAGTAGAGGGGTTAAGAGGAAAACCAGGAGATGGTGGTGTTGCAAGAAGGAAAGTGAGGGCAGCAATAGTAACCTTGCTGCGAGGGCCCTGCAGTGTTGGCATGGGGACAGTCTGCCAGTCTGGTGTTTTTCAGGCCAGTGCCGTTAAAGCAAAGCAGAGCATGCGAGTTCAGGACACTGGTGAAAAGGTGGCCCTGAAGACAGCCCAGGACAAGGGAGAGGCTGTAGTTTCTGTGAGGTGGCCTTTATGCCAGGACAGCCTTTTCCCACTCAGTATTCTCACATGACAGGCATCTGTCCCAAATTAAATATTTGTGTGTATGTTTGTGTTTGTTAATGTGGATCTTGTTGCTACTGAGTGAGCTGTATTTTCCCTAAACAGGCATGTATTTCCAGATAGAAACTGAAAAAGACATGCACTTGGGGCAGACCATCCACAGGTGATTGATTTATTGTCATTTCTTTGTAGATATGTAACTGAACTTCATCTAACCAGATTAAAAGGGACCGAAGGAGGCATCTACACATTTCTAGTGTCCAATTCTGATGTCAATTCTTCCGTGACATTTAATGTTTACGTGAACAGTGAGTAAAACGAATGACTCCTTATCTTTTGATTTTTTTTATTATTTTAAGTTGTGGCTCGTGTTTGTAACAGCTGCAGAACTGAGCTCATTGTGTACTATGTAAATAATATTTCATGATAATTCTGACCTTGACAAAGACCCCGTGGTTTGGTGGTTGGAACAATGTGTATGAAAACCAATTCCTTGCCCTACATTTCAGTGACCATGGGTTTACTGTAGATGTTTCTCAAATTCTGGATGCTGCCTTTGAAGTTAAAAATAACAGTTCTTGGGCTGGCCGAGTGGTGCATTGGTTAAGAACTGGCTTGGGACGCCAGAGGGCCCCGGTTCGGATCCCACATATGAGGGCCAGTGACACTGCCCTCTACAGCTAAGATGCTGAACAACAGCTCAACCTGGAGCTGGGTTGCTGTGAGTCGCCGGTGACGGCGTAGGCTGCAGTCCCCTACTGCAGTGGGTTGCCATGGGCTACCGTGTGTAGCCAGCAGCCAGCGTGAGCGGCCCTCAAGGTGCTGTGAGCAGCCATCCAGAAGCCGGTGACTGATCTGCCTCGCCCAGGAAGAGTGCAATGATGGTGTCAACTTGGGCTAGTGAAGCAACGTCCTCCATAACTAGACTGAAGAACAAAAATGACAGCAACTTATCTTTTCCCCTTTCCCAATTCCCCAGCGCTGTTCCAATTCCCCAATAAAAATCTTTTAAAAAAACAAAACAGTTCTTTGAGGGAAAATGTATTATAATATCATTGATTGTCAAATGGGGCGCCAGAGGTTGAATAGGAACTGGATTATGGTGGGAAAGAGACGCTATCAATCCCTGACATGATTTCTTTGTTATGATGTTGACCAAGTGAGGTTTTTGCCGAGTGCAGGGCGTCCCCTCCTGGCTCTCTGGGGCCAATCTGCATTTCTAAGGAAGGGTGGCAGGTGCCTGCCACACCACACCAGCCAGGGGACCCAAGGATGGGAGGCTTTCAAAGACACAAAATACCAAAACAGTGGCCCACAAAGTCGCCATTGGAATTAGCCATCCTGGGTTTGAGGGGTGATGAGAAGAGAACCTGGAACAGTCCTTAGAGAACAACTTAGCAACTGCTAAGCACTGCCTGTGTGTTGGGCTGTAGGATGGGAGCCATTCCTTGCCCACAAGGAGCTTACTTGCTGTAGAAAGTGATTTAGCATCATTATCTCACCGATGCTGCGGCTCAGTGGTATGGGGTTTGGGTAGCGTGATCCATGTACAAATGAAGACAAAAACCAGCTACTAAGTGATACTCGGGACATTTTTGATTGCTGATCTGGAGCCTTTTGACTACACCAGCGTTTTCAAAATTGTGTTTCCTGAACAAGATAAGTGTTTAGATAAAAGAGGGTCACATCTGTGCAATTAAACACTTTTCTCATCTGCAGGCCTTCTCAAGATCCTTAGTATGCTGATGTGTGTTATGCCTTCCCAGGAGGGTACTGTGGCATGGAGGGTATATCCCAAACTTGTTTGACCACAAAACTCTTCTTTTCCAAGGGAATCACATTAATTAATATCTCAGTTCCGTGAAACAGCTTTGATTATATGGTATCTCATTAGCCTGCAATTCAGATATCTCTAGATTAATTCAGATGTTAATCAGAGGAGCACATGGGCACAATTATCTGCTTCTGAAAAATTTTAATATTCAAGTAACTTAAGACACAGTGGCAGGTAAATCAGTATCCTTGCAAGCATAATATGCATACTTTGTCCATTCAGAACTTTATTTTGGGTGCTCTGGTGTGGTGCTTCTCAAGCTATCTATGCTAAAAGACCTTTTGGGTTTTGGTTTTTGTTTGTTTGTTTGTTTTTTAAATTTACAATTTATTCTGGACTGATATTTCTTATAAAATACAGTAAGAACCAGTTACTAGAAAATGAAGTGAAAAAGAACAGAGACACACAAGCTACAAGATGTTATTTTTTTTTAGACTCAACAGATATAAAAATTACTGTCAAATTGTTCCATCTAAATGCTTATTCTCAGTTTCTGAGCTTAACATCCTGTGGACTAGTATAGCGGCAGCAGATCATGGAGGTGACCTACTCCACAGACCTTCTTTTGAGAAGCTCAGTAGTTGGGAATTTTGTAAAATTAGCCCCTTTTGTATTATATATCTCTTTCTTTGGCTTCAAAGCCAAGTAGGCATTAAGATTGGCCTCTTTTTCCCCTTTTCATGCTTCCATTTGCTAATGTGTGGTCTGCTAGTTGGTGATGAGTCACTGACCTCAGAAAGACATCTCTGAAATCACCCTCACTTTTCTCTGGGTGGCAAAATTACTACCATTTTACTTACCAGGCCAGTTTGCCACCTGACAGGATCAGTGTTAATTACTTCTGCTGGTGAACCCATGCCTGTTTGAAACTAGATAGCAAATGGCGTTAACTTGCCTAAATGATCCTTTCTAGATTTTGTATTAATCCAGGGGCCTTATCTGTATTCTGGGGCCTGGGTCGCAGACATGCATCCAGCCTTTACTGAGCTCCTGATTCATGCCACTGGGCGAACAGATGAGGGTAGTGTAGTCTCTGCCCTTTTAGGTCAAGCTCTTCAGGAAGTCTTTATTGATGTCAGTTTGTAACAAACACTAAACTGACTAAAGGCATTTATTTCACTCACCTAACACATGGGATTTCTTGATCTCCAAATGCTTTGATCGAGATAGCATTTTTATGTAAAACTTAAAACATTTTTGCCTCTTGTGGATTATGTCCCAATTGCTCTTCACAGATACAGTTAGCTAATTTCTTTGCTGATATTTTTTCTGGGGGGGAGGAGGGGATTGAAAAAGAGTTCTAGTTAGTGCTAATATGGGGCAAAATCATTTTTTTATGTTAAAACTGAAAATCAAAAGCTAAAAATAGTTATAAAATTTAAAATTGGAGCAGCTGTGTCCATTTTGACATGACATTTTAGCTGAGCCAAATACTTATGTAGATCTGTGTGGTTCATTCTGTAAATAAGCTTAGCCCCAAGGATGAAAGAAATTGCACTCTGCAAAAATTAGAGTTAATAAAAATCAGAATAATTGCATAACATTAGTATAGAAATTCAGGCTACTTTTATTCAGTAACATTGATGCATAATTGCTTAATAGATTCACCTTTAGAAATGCTCAGGAAAATCTTTGATTTTGAATTGTTAAATGTTTGGTTGCTGAAAAATCAATTTGTTTTGAAAATTCCACATGCAGATTCGAGTATATAGGGGATGGAGATTGAGAGAGAGAATTAGTATTAATCATTTATGTGGGAGGTTTTTTACAAAACAATGTTCTGTCTGTGTTAAGGGACAAATATGTAACATGTAAAGCTTGAAAATATTTTAATACTGTTTTTAACCTCTCTAACCAAGTCATAATTTACATGGGTCTGTTAAATTGGCTCAGTCACATTAAAGGTGGTTTATAATGGCCACAAGTTGTATAACATTTGCCATTTTTGAGCAAAACTTCCAGTGGAAACTGATGGGAATCTTTATGTAAAAAACAAAAAACAAACAAAAATAATCAATGATTCTTTGCATTAAACTTGGCATTACTATAATTACTCTTGCATTGCTTATCAAAGATGTATATAGAAATCATATTCTTAGTTCTAAAAAAGCTTGATACCCTTTGGTGAAAATGGCCATTTGTTTCTCTTGCAGATCAAAATTGGTAGAAATAAAGTTCTAAAAACTAAGAAACTATCTCAAAATATTTTCTTAATAGGCACTACTCTTTCCAAAATTCCTGGAGGTGTTAGAAGAAAAGTGACATCACCAAGATTCTATAGGTAGCTTGTGATACTTGTTTAGAAACCCATGGTCTCTTTGGTTACAATAAATGTCACACAATGATGTTTTTACCACATCCAGGTACAAATAAATGGCCAAACATGTATTTTAACCCTAATTTTATCCACTTGGCTCTTTTTCCTCTCCACCCAATATTTCTTGAATAAATTTTAGACTAATCAGTAATGTAAATATATATTTTTTGACATAATAAGCATACTTGTATTTTTTTATTAAAGTTATTTGGATTTCGGAAGTTGAATTATAATTTGAATTAAGTAAAGCAGTGTCATTTGGGATTAGAATTAATAAGTGAGCAGTGAGCTTTTTACCAGAAATATGTAAACAGCAGAATTTGATTTGAAATATGAGCTAATAAGTAAACCAGGGTTATTTGCATTTGGAATTAATATATGTACCATTCCTTGTTATGGTCTCATTTTTTTGTTGTTGTTATTAATAGTTTTAGGTGTACAAAACAATGCAATAGCTATACTTTTCACCCCTCACAAAGTGACGACCCCCCTCCCCCAATCCACACCCCACCCCTGATTTTATACATATCTATTACAATTCCATTGACTCCATTCCCCATACTGTACTCCACATCCCGTGACTATATATATATTAAATTATAGTTGACATACAATATTATTCAACGGCAGCTTCAGATGTACAGTGCAGTGGTCAGGCCTCTACGCCATCCATGAAGTGGATATAAATACTTTATAGTTTTATTTTGGCTTATAATTTCAAATATCCCATGTGAATCCTAAAATAATTTACATAATTTTGGAAAGAAATTATGATTGATATTATAAATCATTTGTTTTTCAAATCCCTGGAATAATTTCAAGAAGATTTAGTAACTATTTTTCAGCTTTATTAAGGTATAATTGACAAATAAAATTGTGAGATATTTAAAGAGTACAATGTGATGATTTGACGTACATACACACACACTACATTGTGAAAGGATTCCCCTCATAGCGTTAATTAACACATTCATCCTCTCACATATTTACCCATTTTGTTTAGCTTTGTTGTGTTTTGGTGAGAACATTGACGATGTACTCACTTAGCAAATTTCAATTTTATATTACAGTGTTATCAACTATATACTGTTATAATTGGACCCTCAGACCTTATCCATCTTATAACTGAAAGTTTGTACTCCTTTATCAACCTCTCC